TTTCTAATGAATTTGGCAGTGCAGGACCTGGGCATTGTTTCAGTCATTGTCCCTAAATCCATGATAAATTCTCTTATGGATACCAGACACATCTCTTACTTTGGTTGTGTTGCTCAGGTCTTTCTCTTCACCTCCTTCATAGGTTCTGATTTCTCCCTCCTGACAGTCATGGCATATGATCGGTATGTTGCCATTTGCAATCCACTGCATTATAAGATGGTGATGAATTGGAAAGCCTGCACTAAAATAGTGATTTTGGTAGGGGTCACAGGTCTTCTATATGGAACTTTACATACCATTGGCACCTTTTCCATCCCTTTCTGTTCCAATGTTGTCAACCAGTTTTTCTGTGAAATTCCACAACTGCTAAAGCTATCCTGCTCTGGATTCAATGTAGTTGAAGTTGGAGTTATAGTGGCCAGTGCTATTGCAGCATTATGTTCTTTTATTTTGATCCTTGTGTCTTATGCCATGATCTTCAAGGCAGTGTTGAAAATTCCTTCTGTGAAAGGAAGGCAGAAGACATTCTCCACTTGTTTCCCCCATTTTTTAGTCTTTTCCATGTTTTTGGTAACTTCATGCTTGGCTTATCTGAGACCCCCCTCTAACACTCCAACTTACTTAGATTTAGCATTAACTGCCCTATATTCTTTATTTCCACCCTTGTTCAATCCAATCATCTATAGCATAAGAAACAAGAATATCAAATCTGTCCTGTCTAAATTATGGAGATTCTAATATTTTCTTTTGGTGATGTTTTCTATCCTCTTTTTCCTCACATTGAACTTACAGCATTTCTTGCCTTGGTTTTTCTGAGGAAATAAAAGATAGAAGAAATAGAACTAGAGCCTTGCCACTCTGCACCAATGGCAGCACTTGAGAAGATCCTGACCTACAATCCTATATCTCTAGTTACTGACCCTGATTTTTAAGATACTAGAAGTTGGTTAACAGCATCCTGGGTAATATATGTTGACAAATCCGGTTCCAGACTGTAGTCAATCTGGTATCAGAATGAGATAAGACAATGAATCCACAAAATCTTCCTAATTGGTCTGGGAGAAGTTAAGTGAGCTCCTGGTTTCTGCTGATTGGAAACAGCCTTCCATTAAGAACAAAACTAAAGCAGACATTTACTTTGTGCAAATATCTATAAGGATATTTTTGTCCTGCATTCCCAGTGTCAAAGGATTTTAAGATCAAAAGTAGGAATTCACTTGGGAGATTGAGTTACTGGAGCTTGATTCATACACTACACTAAGCCATTGTTAATTTAACATTGGAATAATGAATAAAACACAATTTCTAAGATCTCAGTATATCATAAGCCATGAATCAGGTTTATA